GCGCAGCCTCTCGTTCTCGGCGCGCAGCCGCTGCAGCTCCGCGCCGGCCTCGCGCGGCGCCGCGGGCTCCCGCAGGCGGCCGATCTCCGCCGCCAGCCAGCGCAGCTCCTGCTCCTGCCGCGCCAACCGCCGCGCCGCCGCCTCCGCCGCCGCGGCCATTTTGTGCGCGCCCTTCCCGCGCCGCCCGCGGGGGGCACGCGCGGACCGCCTGCTCCGCTCCGCTCCGCCGCGCCGGCCCCGGGCCTGCTGGGCCGCGGACACGCGTTAAAACAGACGCCAAATAAGCCCCGAACGGTGCCGGGTGCTCCCCAGGGCAGCCTGCCGGGCCGCCCTCCGGCACTGGTGCCTCCCTTTCACACCCGCTTCCTCAAGGGTTTGTYCCTGTGCTAACCCAGCTCGCCTGGCGGGGATTTCAGTTCTGGAATCACTAAATCGCAATGGTCACGTTGTATCCCCTGCTTAACAGCACTGGAAATAGCTGCGTGGTGCGTGAAAAGGTGCAGAATCGACCCTTGGATCTGTCCACAGTGAGACGTGTCTTGACATACAACCACCTGGTTCCAGTGGCCTTAGGAGCTGACAGACACGTGCTTGGGACTGCAAGGACAYGCTCCTTCACCAGCAGTGGTGCTGTAGGCACTGCTGGCTCCATGGATTGTCCTCCTTTGGAACAACAGCATAAGATTTTCACGGCTCCTACCTCTCCACCCTGTGCCCACTGCTCCTTGCATTTCCATGACCACACTGTCTCCTCTCCCCATGAATGCCCAGAATTTCTAAGAGCTTTTGTTTTATTTTGTTTTTGTTCCCTAGACAGGCTTTCTAGTGTTACTGGTTTCCATCCTAGTTTATTTAACAGATACTGGGAATCTCCCACAGCACAGTGCTACCTAGGTACAGGTTTGCACCATTGCTGCAGATCAACACAGTGTTCAATACACCATCACATGCAAAAATGGACTCAGTGCAGCTTAAGATAACCTGTAATTCCACCCTTCCTTGTTACAGGTAACCTGTGAGGCTTGCTGCACCTGCAAACAGCCACGGGGTGACAGGCACTGCTTCCAACCGCTTCTGTGATCCTGGCTGGTTAATTGCGGAGCTGGTGATACCCATAATACCCTAGAGGATGAAATGGCCTTTGGTCGACTAACAGTGACTGATAAATACAGACAATTTCTGAAACAGAAACAGCCTGCCAGGAAGGCACCACAGTTGTTTCTTAAAGTGCTTAAGACTAAACATATGGCAAAGGTTGGCAAAATATTTTTTGCCTGCTGCACAAGAGGTATAGTAGCATTTAGGAAGCTGCCAGGTAAGGCTGTCCAGGTGAGGACATGGATGTGTGAGCCGTTGGAAGAAGCGGAAGGACTAAGAAACAGCAGGAGGAGACAAAAGTACTCACAGCTCTTCTAGAGGGCATCTATGCAGGCAGAAAGTATGAAAACAAGAGCAAAAAGGCTGTGTTGAGCAGCATTTGCGTAAGGCGCTTATGTAAGCGTGCGATCCTGGGTGAGTGATGATCAGTGGCAGGTCCCTCCACCGGGAGCGCAGCAACGGATGCACTCGGAGCGCAAACTGCCGCGGGGCCCTGTGCGCTCGCACACCCCTTGGAGGTGGGAGCACATGGAGAGGGGCTTAGTCGCACCAGAGCCACAMACGCATCTCCACGGAAAAGGTCCTGCCCTATAAGCTCCCCTTCTTTTGTTCGTGCCTTTTGCAAATATGCTTGCTGGATATGCGCAGAAACATTTATTATTTACTGTGCTAAAGCAAAATATTGCACAACTAAATGTAAAATTCTGCTGTGCTGCAAAGTCAATGTTTTATGAAATAATGAGAGGATCATTTACGCTGTGATTTGTGTGATTGTCTCTAAGGAATACAAAATTAAATGTACAGAAGACACATTATTTTATGTCCTATAGCAGTTTGTACACATTATTTCAGTTTGCTGAGCTATCTTCTTGAATACATTTTTTATTTTTTTTACAAAGGGCTATCTTTGAAGATCAGTGACGGAATTAAAAAGTAACAGTAACTATGGAATTCTCCGTCTCATCATTACGGTTCAGAAGCTGTTAACAGTTGTAAAGGACTAATTAGTGTAATGTAATCCTCTTAGGAGGCTGCAGGCACTGAGCTAGATTTCTTTATAATTTGTATGTAGGCCTGCTTTATTCCATTAGAATTACAATAATTACAGGCAGCAGTATGTATTTGCATTCTATCTAACCACGCTATGTTTACTCTGCATCCTGAAGACTGTGCAATAAATGCAGAGGTTATTTTTCTTTTATTTTGTGTTTAAACACCAACATGTTTGGAAGAACAGCTAAAGAGTGGTTTTACAACTGTACAAAATCTACCAAAAAAGAAAATGAGAATGAAAACAGGAATAAGTGGCTCTCTGAAATCCCAAGCAATCAGAGAGAGAAAATCCTGGAAGAGCTGGATGTGAACAAAGTGCTGTCATATTTGGTTTACGAGAGAGTCTTTTCCTTGGAGGAATACAAAGACATTTGGTCCCAGGAGAGCTACAGGAAGAGAACTGAGTATTTTTTAGATAAACTGTCTTTAAAAGGCCCAAGAGCTTTCTCTGTTTTTTGTTCCATTTTGGAGGAGATCTGTCCTAACTTACTGACATGCTTTCTCCTTGGCTATGAAGGTAAGGTCACTGTCCGCTCTGAAATGCTTAAGTGTGTAGTGGTAACGTCTTGGAATCCTTTGACACTAATAGTTATTTGCTATAATTAGTGTTTACTTTCTCTCTCGCACTAAACATGAGAGACTACTCGTTTGCTTGATGGTGTTTTTTGTTAGAGAAATTTGCAAGAAGGGAAATTTAYAAGCAAATATTTTTATGTGATGCGTTGAACATTTAAACTGTTAGCAAAATGCTGTATGTTAATCACTGCTGCTACTAATAAATACTAGTGAGGATAAGGAAAGTAATTCCTATGTACYGACAGGGCTTAGCTCACAATGTAACTGATGTTTTAACCTAATTGCTATTTCTACAATATTTAAACATAGACTGAGAAGTTTTYTAGGCATAGTGCCTGGGATCGATCCCTTTGAAGTTTCTGTTGTGAGCTACATTATTTGTTATTCCCTTCTGTATATAACTGTACAACAATCATTGTATTCTAAATATCAACAATATGATTGAAATTATTCAGAATGTTATTTGGACATTGCCCCTATTCATACCTGCTTGAGAAACAATGATTTATAGATGTTAGCAAAGATGATATTAAAAAAATACAGTATTTATAGTCTTATCCTAGTGACCTATTTTTAATTTTTGTGTGAGTTTATATGTTCAAAATAGGAGCCTTTCAAGCCAGTTGGAGTTTTCTGAATAATACTTGCTGGATTGTGCTTAATGGTTATGTACAGAATGTCCTCTTATAATTTATTTAAAATATTACCGTCTTCTATCAATTCATTCAGTAAAAGGTTAAAGACACCTTGGAATTACAAACACACAGCAGYAAAGCTGTGTGCTGTAATTTTAACAAAACAAATACAAAAAAAAAAAAAAATCTAAAGGCATTTTCATCTTTACAATTGCTATAATCTGTGTCCTTATGAAAACCCGATTACTTTTACATCTGACAGCTATAGATCCAATTATACTGGAGGAGAGCAGCTATTCTACCATAATTTACTTATGAACAGATGTCCATTTAGTGTACTTTTCAAGATCAATTTACAGCACAGTTTTACGGCAATTAAAATCACCAAAGGAGGTTCAACTAAAGTTTTGGTGTTCTCTGAATTAAATGTAGAGAAGATGAAGGGGAATTTTTCTTCTTTGCCACCAAAGCCTCTCATGTGGGGCTCGTCACAGCGCAGGCTTAACCCCTGCAGCGGGTGGGAGGTTGGGGGCTACTGCTGCCCTAGAAGATGATGCTCTCTGCAGCGGGATGCAAGTCTGGCACTCGGTCTCCCTGACAACATCAGAACAGATAGAGAGAATAAAGGAGAAAGCCAATGCTGCACATTTCCAGAGGAGTAAAGGATACTGCTGGAACAGCTTCCCCGATCCATTCTGCCTGTCTGTGCCTCATGGAGGCAGGA